ATCTCTCTTTTACACTGTATATTCTCCCAACCACTGTATGACACGTAGTATGCTTTATTTTCATGAGAGAAGCTGGATCCTGGGCTGAAAAATATTCCCTTATTCCCCAAGAGCATGTCAGAAATAGTCTGCTCTGGACTTGTATCAGCACAACTGAACAATAGAATTTTCTCAGACTTTGCATAAGGACTCAAAAATAAGCAGATTGAATCCATTTTAACATGAATATGGGCAAGCATTTTCTTTCATAAAATCCTTTCAGAGATGAGCTAACCCCACAACTTCATTATGATTGTTAAATCCACACAGTAGATAAGCAAAACCTCAGCAAGGGTTCAGATTAGCCAAAATCATTTGATCATGATGAGTCAGAGGGCGAATTAAGGAATCTTTTGTTTTGCCTTAAAATGTCATGGTATAAACTGCATCTGCTCAGGAGCTGACTCATAAGACCCTCAGACAATAGGGTAGCGGGGGCAAGGGAAGGACTTGGGGAGATAACCTCCTCAGCCAGCCCAGGCCAGAGTGTGTGCACTCATCAATTATAATCCAAGCTTTTGAATGTGAGAGAATAAACCGCTGGTTTGGCTTTGGTAAATCAAATCTTTTTGTTGGGTTTTAGAATTCGGAAAGCAATACTTTAAAAGGACTTCAAAATTCATATTCGCCTTTCCTTTGACTCATCTTGTTCCAGCTAGTTCAAACACAAGAAAATAGATGGTCAGCAAACCCTAAGCAGCTGCTGGCTGGATTAATATCTAAAAATCAAACCATTATCTACACTATCCAAGCCTCTCAGTTCAGAAAAATGAAAGTGGGAAGACTCATAATCTCATTTTTTTCTTTGTCATGCCAGAAACATTCAATAAAATGTCTTGCAATATATGGAACTTTTAGTCACTACAACAAGCCTTCAGGAAAGACAAGAAATAAGAAAATTCTCAACTTTCCTCCAGATCAGACAGAAAGAAAAAACCTCATCAGCTCAGAGTTACTCTGAGCTTGGGGTGAGGAAGGAATATGAAGTAGAACTAAATCTAAATCAGCTTATCTTCCTTAGTTACAAAGAATCAAACTTTTAAATACATCGAGAACATTGAAATCCTCAGTAGAAATCATCCTCAGAAAAACAGCCTCTGTCAAAAATTCAGCAAGCATTGTTATCTACAAAAAAAATCCATGATAATTTTCTCTATTTATTTAAATCATGGAAGTGCACATGAAGTTCAAATAAATCACTCCTTAACTTCTCACTCAAAACTGAACTTGTCTTAAGCTGTCTGTCAGGGAAATGAGGTGACTTAGTGACTGTATTAAAATTGTAACACCCATGTAAAAATAGTATTGTAGTTAGATAGCTGTCATAGTTAAAACACATCAAATAGTACTTAAGCATGTTATTGTAAGCCAGATTCAATAACACTTAGGTTTTGTTATTTCTGTGATAGGTATAGGGTCAGGGTCTTTTGACTACTCTGCAGATGAATCTAGCAATAAAAATAATCATAGTAATAAACTACCTGATAAATAACAGCACAAAGTTACTGGAACAACTAAACAAAGGGATACACTTCCATTTAAAACTTCCTGCTGACACCACATAGGAATGATAGCACTGAATGGACACTGCTTTTCTTTGAGTGTTCCAATATCTAATAAGATTATTTCATGTGGCTGTTTGGAGTGAACGCACAGATGCAATCATTACAGACAGTAATGATTGTAACGACAGTAAGGACAGTGAAATTCATTAAAAATGTGACCCAACAGGAAATCCTTCCTGATGCTCGTCAGAGCCAGAGGGAGTCCCACATGCCAGCTCTGTGTGGCTCTCAAAGGCAGAAAGGCGCTTGCTGAGCGAGAGCTCCTGCAAGATCCATGTGAGCTCTTGTGTGTCCTCCTGCCAGCTCAACCCCCTAGGTACACCAAAGGGGCATTTCTACTCTCGGTACCCCTTTTACTGCCCTGCTAGTGCATTGAAATAGCGTGCTTTGCTTTTTAAAACACTCTTTACTGCTTTCTCAAAGGGGTTGAGAACATCACACTAATGTGCCGAATGTCAAGCACAAAACCCTCCCAAACTTTTCTCCTGCTTTACACTTTAGGAAGTGGTCCCTTGTTGGTGGTTTTCAGTATCTAAAATAATAGGAGGGATGGCAACAGGCAAGACAGTTGAAGATATGAATTTATGTTTAATAGACTAAGTATTAGCACTAATTCAATGAGCAGCAGAAGAAGAAATTGTAAGTGACAAAGGCATTTACAGTTAACTGTCTAAGAGAATGCAGGGAAGTAAATCATTACATGAAAAAGGAGCTCCTTTTCTCGTCCTACCCTATTAAAAACCTCACTACAGAGCCAAGGCATTTATTGATTGCTTTCTACTTTCCCACTGCCAAAACTAAGTACTCCTCTATTTACTTTAATTTAAAAATGCATTATTGTCTACTTTCTAATAAACCAGAGAGTGGAACAAGAAACTCAAATTATTCTAAGTTTATTCTTAAAAGTCCGGGTTTTTGGGTGGTGTGGGGTTGGTGGTTTTTTTTTTTTTTTTTTTTTTTTTGAAAGACTGAAGGCCTTAATCCTTAAAAGCCTTTCTGAAAGAAATGTTACTAGATGCTGGCCTTGCAGCTGGGCCCAGATTGAAAGTGCACTTACATTTTTATGTTTAGCGCTGAAGGACTCTGAAGTTAGCCCTCACACTCCACATAAAAGCTTTGGAAAGGGCATTCTTTGCCACTTGTGCAATTCATTCTCTAAGAAAAGGAAATGGAAAGAAAGATTTCATGTCCAGGGCTTCAGGCCTTTGATCATTTGATGAACATTGGATCCTCAACCTGGGCCTCCAGCTTCTCAGGCCAGACAAAGAGGGCCCCGGCCGCACAGGCTGGGCCTCGGTTCCCGCCCGAACAAAACCTTTGGCGGCCGCACAGTGTGACAGCCTGGGAAAGGCCCACCTCAGCAGGGCTGAGATGCCCGCTCTGCCCTTTGATCTTTCATTTAAACCCCAGCCAAAGCACCAGGTCAGGGGATTTCGCATCGCACACCCCCATGGGCAGAGGGGAGCAGGTCAAGAACAAAATGGGGGTGACCGATCTCCAAAAAGCCCTGTGACGCCTTTCTCTGGCCAGTTTCACATGACTTGTCTGGCATTGTGAAGAGCTAAGCCCACACTTAAAATGGAATTTGACATTACATGGTACAATGGAGTCAATAAATGGCATTCTTCAGTGCTTTTACAACAAAGTCAACCCTCCCTTAAGTGGCTGAAAGCCCCAAGCTAGAAAATACTTCTATTTACTTCTTTATGTGAGTAAGTTGCATATACTTTAAATCTAGTTTTCATTACGGCTGATGACTGAAATGAGCCGAACAAACACCTAACAAAGGTCTACATTAATTTTACGACATACAATTGCTTCTGGTTTTAAAGACTGGGTTGTCACGTGACATGTAACAAGCATTGGAAATATCTCCATATTCCTCCACAGAGTGAAACCCTATTTTCCAACAAGAATTAAAAACTAATCTCATCCCACTGAAAAAATTATTTTCAGGATAGTGCTAAGGAGAAGGCAAACACACAACTCCTTTTAAGATGAGCAGCTAGGTCCACATGATGCTCACAGGCAGAACATTCAGTCCATGTTTGACGAGACATGTTAACAGAATCTGGAGAGAAAGAAAACACTAAACTCTTCTTTCTAAAGGGCCAGGATGCCACTATGCCCCACAGGGCTGGGACATGCAGGATGCAATAGCTGATGACCACAAAGCGTGGCGTGTGTTTTTAAACTACATGTAAAAGTATGTCTGTGCTAGAAGATTTTAAACAACTGTAAAGTGACTAGAACTCAAAGAATTAAATACTGTTTCTCTCTATAAATTAATATACATTTTTACAATCAATACTTTTTCTTTAAATGCACATATCTGCATAATGCCAGATGAAGGTGTCTTAAGAACTCAGGTTAAGAAGTAAAAAAGGAAAAGTACTATTTTTTGTTTATCTTCAACCTCCTAAAATTTCTTTTCCTCTTAAAATGCAGTTCTATGAAACTGTGATACAAACATGGTCAAAGGAATGAAGAAGGGGTACAAAATATGAATGAAGTTGGTTATTATGTGTTTTAACCTACAGTCAGGTTAAAAGACATAATAGTCTTTGAAAACTCCCACCTTTTAGCTTCCTTCTTTTGAAGACAGTATCAGTATTAAAAATTTGGTTTAGTTCTAACATACAAAGATTATTTCAGGATATCTCAAGTACTTCCCACCATGAACCATTTACCTATCAATAAAAAGTAAAGAAACGGCCCCAATCTCTAGAGATTTATAGACTTCATTTTCAAGAAACAACAGTATTCATTTATGTTGACACATGATTTTTTCCACTTCAGAAAATTACATTTTAGAGATAAGGAAACTCAGAAACAGAAAAGTTTTAAAAATTGTTCAATATTGGACAGTGGCAGCACTAGGAACAGAGTATTAGATGATTTATTTTCAGTCCTCTACCCTGTTCACTACAGTCCTCTTCTGCCTAAGAGAAAAATCTGTGCAGCACATGAGGCCTTGTCTTCTATCGTCTCTTCTAGGCGAAAGAAAAGTAATGGTGTTTGACCATCATGGCTGGATAGGTGACAGAGGACTGGGCAATGCTCATGAAGCAGCCCAGGACCTAACTCACCCACTAAATAAGGATTCTACAGCCCCAAGGTATCTTCTTCTAAAACCTGTAATAACTACTTTAAATGAAAAGTTTATAAATTCAAGTACTTCTCAACAGCACAAAACCCACCTGCTCATTCACAAAGCATTTGCATTTGGGTTTGTTTGAAACTGCTATGAAAATAAAACTTAAGAATGCTCAGGAAAGAGTACAATTTGCCTCTAATTTATTCTCAGATTTTCTGTGAATATTGCTCCCTGTGTTGTCATGGCAACACAAGCACATCTTTCAGTACCAAGGAAGTAACAAGCCTTTTGATTCTCACCTTTGGCCATTTTATTGAGAACCATGTCAATTAGAATGTAGGTTCCACTTCTTCCCGCACCATCACTGCCAACAGAAAGGGAAAAAGAAAAAAATAAAGCCTATCAATGTGCATCTAGACTTAACATGAAGGCACCTGCCCTCAGTGTTATACTGTTACACATGGGGGAAGAGGAGAGAATAAGGGGCTAAAGTAGGATACTGAGAGAGGAGAGAAAGCTTGCACTGAATTAACACAAGCTGTTTCTGGAAGATTAACTATTAGCCTGCACAGGTAACAGGACTCTGTTCTGAGTTTTTTAAGCCAAGTTGGGCTTATGCAAGAAAAGCATTTTAAACAGTGGAAAAGTCACTAACCCTAAAACAGGATACCATTTCTGTTCAAAGTGTGTATGTATAATGAGCTTATAGTCACTTCTATGTGATCAAGAACCACAGAATAAGTTAGACCAGAACACTATCCAGAACATCCCACAATGTCGCTGATTGCATTTTTAACACAGTAGTCAGAGAGAATGCGTATAAAGATCTGTTCGAGAACCAAAATATTTGATTACTGAGGGACTTTTGATTACTGAGGGTAATTTTTCTTCACTATACATCACAAGAGGTTTGGTCTTCCGTTTTACTTTTCCCTTTAATTCTTACTTAGTTGCAAAACCCAGAAAAAATATTGTGCAATTCCTAAGAAACAGCTTTAACTTTTGTTTGTACCATCAGCCCTTCCTCGGAGATGTGAGACCAAGCCTTGGGAGGGGGGAAGCTTCCTCATCTGAATGCAGCTTGTGTCCCTTTCAGAGAGCAACGTGTAATTGCCAGCGCGATGCTCTTTTAGAGCTGCTGTTAGCAAACATAATTAAGACTTTAAGTAAAAGCTTTTTTTCTTTCCCTCCCCAAAATTTTTACAAAGGTGCAGGTGTGACCAATTAGACTGGTATGTAGCTTTATTAATTAAGCCATTATTTTTATTGATAGCTCAATTTGTGTACAAGAATTAATGAAAAGAAAAATAATAGAACAGCATGAAGCGTGTTATCACATTCTGTTTACAGGCAGGCTCTGAAACTTAATTTTTGTTAAGTCTCTGTAGACAAGATTTTTTCAGTTACTAGATCACTGCCTAGAGAAAAAGAGGTAACGGTAGTAATTTTTTTTTTTTTTAATGTCTATGAAGAGAACAAAGACACAATCTTATTAGTTAAGCTGAATAATGAGAAACAAGGCAGGCATCAGGCCCAATAAAAACAAAACCTATTGAGCTGATAGTAGACATTTCCATCCATCACAGTAAGGAAAGAGGAAGAAACTTGAAGGCTCTTCACTCTGCATCAAATGTTTCTTTTCTCAGGCCTCCTGAGTGCAATGCAGACAAGCCTCCTCCAGAGCATTCACCTCTGCAGAGGACCTCCTTGCAACCAGTGGAACCCTGCTGAACCACACATGAGAAACGTATCCTTTCCCTCCTCGCTCCCACCCAAAGTGGAGTGCCATGTGTCAAACAACCTGCCTCTTAGCAGGGCTGGTTTTCTATCTTCCTTATCTATAAGAATATAATCAATAAACAAGTGCAACATTCTCCTTAGTATCTCCAATGGCAAAACCAATCATTAACATTATTATTATAAAGTGTTCCATTGGCCTGCTCAATAGCTTTTGCGTACATCTATCAGACTGTCAGGCCTAAAGATAAGTTGTGCTTAAAGGATCACTCAATCTCTGAGTAGGTTTTTACTCCCTGACATTGCTCTCCTCTTACCATGATCACTAATAGCAAGCAAAGAAGAAATAAAACATAATTGAATGTTAATAAAATAGACTAAACTGGGAGGGAATGCAAGCAAACACTCATTTTGAAGGAGATTTATGAAACTGAAATGTTACTTGTGTTGGAAAGGGTGGCCATACGCTAACAAGTCTTGGCACAACATCTATGAATTCATAGGAAAGGATTACTGTATTATGAAAACAGATCCCAACTATTAATTAGTATTAAAACCCAGTTGAATTACATGTAATACCTTCAGCCTACCTCACTATCCATTTAGTGATTCATCTAAAGCTTCAATTTGCCCATATTGTTTATGTCTATATTAAATTTTTACACATAAAAATCTCTCTAAAGCTATTTTAGAAATTGTACTTGCCTGCAATGAACAACTACTGGACAAGAGCGACCCCTGTAGCACTTGTTTACTTTTCTGAAATAAAACAGACACAAAAAATTAATTGAGCATATTACATACTGCTTCTTTTGCCAACTGTCAAAAATAAGCAAAAAGAAAAACCAAATATTGCAGACTTTAAAGAGTCAGGTTAATAATTTCCTTATAAGCAGTTGTTACATACATAATCCTGTATCAAGTTTGCTTCTGCTTTCTTGCTGTAGAAATCCCAGAAAACATCCCATTATCGCTGTTGGCTAGGCAAAATAAATGAGCTGTTTTCTTAAATGTCTCATGTCTTATCTCCAAAACTAAGATTATCTTGAGATGCTTTGATTTTCAAGCCAACTTTTGAGTTCATGAGCTTGTTCAAAGAAATATTGAAGAGCATCAAACTGAATCCAAAACTAAAAAGGCTATTTCAGCATACTTTGTACAGTATGTGCTGATTTGTTAAACCAGTTCTCTCCAGAAAGACAAATACCAACTCCTGAAAAGTTTCTCACAAAATTCTAAAATGTAACCTACTGTGGTAAAAATAACTAAACATACTTAGTAAGCTTTACTGCTTTGGTTCCAGTGCAGAAGTCTTATCTTTTTAACATTTACACACTATTGTCTTTCACACCTTTCTGGTTATACATTCTCAGTGGCAAGAGAATCTATGTGAAATCAGTCAATAAAAGTACAGCTACAGAACAGGTCTGCTGGTATGTAAATTCAATGAAGGAATTAACTGGTGCCGAAGCAAACCAAGATACTCAGTCTAGGAACAGAGCCCACAAAATTGGCTTAGATCTATTTAAATTGCCTTACAAAAAACAAAATCCCAAACCCTCTCTTCTCCTCTAGGATATATTTTGCATGTCAAGTATGCTACAAGCCCCCAGAAATATAAAATATGCACACATATGTTAACAAGACAAGCCGAATAAAGGCTAAAATGGGAAAGCATTGCTTCAGGAAATCAAAACCTTTCATTCAATTTACTTGATGAGATGCTTGAGTTTACTGGAGCTAGAAGGTTTCCTATAAAACCTTTTCATAGGGTAGCTTCCAAGGGGTGCCCAGACCCTCCAAGAGTTCCTAGCTCAGCAGTGTTATGTAGGACCCTCACTGCTAAACTGAAGTGAGCTGCTGAAATTTGGCAACTGTGGTACAATGATATGAATTTTAAAGCATAACTAACCTACCAAATCATTTAGTTCTTGGCTGTTCATCTATTCACTAACATCTGTGCTGTGAAAACACGCATATATCTTTAAACATTGCTTACACTATAGACTAAAGATGCCTAAACTTCAAATATCTGACAAGAAGTCAAGATACCTGGAACTCAACCCAAACAGGCCATGGAGATGTTGGTGTTGTCCCAGGAAGCTGTGTTTTCACATTCTGCTTTTTATTATTTAAGTTTCAAACCAGACTTGTTAACAATATTAAATTCATGCAATGATTCCATTTAAACATTAGAATTCAGGATTTTTTTCACAATTCTCACTCTTTCGCTTACGGATGGAAATCATACTTGCAGAGACATTCTGCCTCTATTTATATTCCTTGGATGTAAGTAATTAATGCAGTAGAACAATGTTCTATGAAATAAGTGACAAGGCATTGAGAAGCACCTGACTTTAGAAGTTAAATGGACCATTTACAATGTCCATAAACGCATGTACATGGAGGCACTACCAAGCAAAACTTCAGTGACTTAAGCTGCAGGAGAGTTTTCACATGAATGAACCATTCAGTTCTTGGTGATCCTATCTGAGGATCTGCTCCTTCTATACACTATAAAGCCCGATATTAGTTTTTTGTATTGTACTGTAAATTGAAAGTTTTTTGTATTGTACTGTAAATTGAAACATCTGCAACAGTGTCTGTCAAAATCAGTCTGCATTCTCCTATGTGCAGCTGGTCATCGTCCCATCCCCTCCACCCCCCATCATGTGCATTAGTAAAGAGTTGTTTCTGCATTTAAGGTATCAAATAAAAGCTAATAACTACAGAGGGGTATTTCCCATTTCTTTTTCTGCTTGTGTGGTTCCTTTGTTCCTTGTATGGCATCAGTAATAAGATATTTTCATGTTGTGATTAGCCATCTACCAAAGTCCTAATATAATTCCAATGAGAAACTCGATCTCAACCTATCAGTAAATCAGACCTCTCAGTAAATCAGACAGCCAGAGACACATGTTAGGGAAAGACATCTTATGTTTGTCAGTTTTATTGAAGGCGTTTCAAACATTTTCATTATCACACATTTCAGAAAACACATTATAACAAAGGGTTTAAATCCAGCTGGTTCATAGATTTGTCTGTATATAGTTTATGAAAATATTTAGAAGTGCAGCAACGTCTCATTTCATTCTTAGTTCTGGCTAATGAGAGCGAGCCGAAAATTCATCAGTAAGCAAAGTTCTTAAATGTTGAAGAAAATATATATATTATATATATACATATACAGGAAGAATTAACTCAGAAAGAATGATTAGTAATACAAACCAACCCTTGGCTCATTGAGTGAAAAAGAAATCATCATGCAAACCATCAGCAAGCAAAGGTCAGAGGTCGTTAGAGGCTCAGAAAAGGGGTTTCCCACATTGTCCCTGCAGCAGAGTCACAGTTTCCAATGATCACTTTTGTGACTATGCAACTGGGCTCATATTACTAGCTGCAACATCACAAAAATGACACTGGCAACCGCTAATTAGCTGGCAAAATAAGAATTTGTCCATTTTTAAAGTGAGCAGTGTTAGTAAATGCCATTGCACGCAGCGAGAAGTGATAGCATAGTAGATATATATTTTAAGCAAAGCCCTCACATGTGATGCTAATTATCTTTTAGCTTAGCAGTCCCTCTTTAAAGTGTAAATGTGCTCCCTCTGGGCTCGAGAAATATTTAATGACACATATCAGTGCATGACTAACAAGCTAGTCCAGAGCAATAATGATTGGTCTATTGTTCAAAATGAAATTAGGACTCCAGAAGCATTTAAAACTGACCAGTGGTTTCTGTAGTAGCCTCACCTCTCAGGGACTGTCTTTGACACAGATTTTAAAAATATATAGAATAATCTCTTTTTTTGCAATTTGTAGCTATGTTATGAAAGTATGGTAGATAATTCTGCAGAGTTTAAAGTATCTGCTAGATGCAAAATCATCTAAAACACTGTCTGATACGTAGTAAGAGAAATGTAAGCTTTCAGTTTTCAAAAAGACTTGTAAAATTTACTTAAATAAAAATTTTAAGGTCCATATTTCCACAGACTCTGGGCAAGGTAATTTTGGGAATCCAATTTTTCTTGGCAATGAATTACAAAAAAATAGAGGGTTGGTTATGTATATGCTTAATTTCATATATGTATGTGAATATATAAATATACACACATATCCATATATATATATACAAACACACTGAATGCACATAAGAACATAGATAAGATTAAGAGAAATGAGAGCAGCCCCTTCCTTGCACTACCTTACTATGAGGGTGGTAGTGCTATCAGACATTTATTGTGAGGCCTTTGTGACTCAGCTGTTGTAATTCAATGGAGTTTGTACTTTGAATAGGAAGCTTCAGGTGCAAAACATGGGTTGTACAAATGAATTCCAAATACGTTATTTTAGCAATAGTGCATTAGGGTTTTTGTCATTAAAAAAAGGATAAAAGCAGCAAAGTCAGATGACCAAGAAAACTGAGATTCATAAACCAGCTATTGTGCATGACAAAATTCCTTTTCAGGAGGAATTTTACTATGCATTCGGTATTATGAGTTCATTGTACAAAATCTGCACGTAGCAAATGACTACAGTACCCTGCTCTGGACTGCGAATACATATGAAATGAACACTCAGAATTCAATTAAATGTTAACAGGTTCATTCTCATACTGGCTTCAAATACAAAAAATGGTAGCTCCACTACTTTTCTCACCTAGTTACCACTTTTCTCTTTCAAAGTATTGCACAACACTTCTTCAACATGGCTATTTAACCCTTGCACGATGTCACTCTAAGAAGTACTTTCTTGGAGATGTGAACTCTGACTTTCTGGAGATCTAATCCTGCAGTTCATGCAGGGACCTCAATTCTTACTGAAGCAACTCAGAGTTGAGGTGTTCCGAACTTCAGATGTCCTGGATGTACAGGCTCATTTATGGTCTAGTTAGAATTCCTAGCCGCTTTCCCACTAACTTCAGAAAGAGTAAAATCAGATGCTGTGTTGGCTCCGTGCTGCAGCCTCACACAGTTTAATGGAACTAGTTCAGATTTTCTTCTACAGAAATTCAAAACAGGCAACTTCCTTGGTATCAAAGCAAAGGGAAATCAACCTATAAAAATCACAGTAAAGTTTGAACCCAGAGAAGAAAACCTTGAAAATTCAATTACAGTTTCAACTCCATCCTATGGCTGTGCTTCATTCCTTCACAATTTCTTTTGTGTTGCTACTGTATAGCATAGCTTTATACTCTTCCCTAGCCATTGCTCCTATGATGCAGTACAGCTGTATTGTTACTTGACCTGCACCACGTTAGATGACTCTCTGCTTTGAGGAGCCTTGCAATATCTATGAGAATACTGATGGATGAAGGGTGGCATTTAGTTCTAAATTTTTAAGGGTAATATTTTGCCAACAGAGAACTGTACAAACAGCTCCCTTTGGATATATGCCAGCTTCTCCCCCTTAGGTGCAGATGTGTGAATCTGACTGGTATCAGCCAGAGCTCCCAGCACATATTGAAAGAAGTTTGGACCTTTTGAGCACTGAGCCCCTTCTAATCACTTTGGGGGGTTGTAGGTGATATTGTAGTACAGAGATGAAAACATGCGATCCCACAGGCTGCTTGTGGATTGAGAACCAACTCCCCAGACCTCCCAGAGATTCATTAGTCATAAGCGCATCGCTGTGGATTAGCTGATACACACTAACACCTACACATGAGGCACTGGGCACAGTTTGCAATCAAATGAAGATTATTTCAGACCAGTATTTATCATGCATGGCTTTCATTTTCAAATTAAAATTTAGATAGGCACAGCAAACACTAGAGAAGGTGGCAAGGACTTTCACAGGTTTTGCCTTTGTATATTTGTATTTTAAAGCCACGTTGACTTTCTTGAAAATTCCAGAGGGTATGCTTTGTCAACACTTTCATCTGCTTTCTCAAATTTCCACCTTCTTGCAGCCAAAGAAGGTCCACAGACCTTACTGTTTGATCCTTATGAGCAAATGCTCTCTTGGCAATGCTGTTATTGCCATATGACTCCATTGTGATTTTTTTTTTTTTCCCAAGCATGCTTATACTACATAACTTGCATGATTCCTGCAATAAGGATCTTAGGGGAGCCACACAAAAAGCCTGGAAGCTGCAGAATGGATAAATACTTGGAAAACAAAGAAATACAGAAGCACCGAGGAGCTGAACAAAGGGAGAAAAGTATCTACCTCTAAACGAGAAATGAGTATGTCCTAAAACCAGGCAACATCTATGTGTGAAACAACATTATACATCAACCTACTGCAGATTTTTGTGTTAGTTTAGCATTGTGGCATCACAGGCTGAGGACTCCCTTTTAAAACCAGAAATATTTAAAGGACAAGTAAAAGGACTAGTTTAGTTCGTCAGATGTGTATGGTCTTAAACTGTAATACTTTGTGCTTTACCTGCGGAAATCCAGAAGTGATCTTGTGGAAGCAGGAACCCTCTGATCATTCCAGCTGAGGAAGTGGAACTGTGTCACTGTGCGTGTCTCATTTGTCTGCAAGTTCTTCAGGTAGAAGCTCCTCACAAGGAAATCCTCGCACCAGATGTGCTCAGAGACAAGGTTTACCTACACCCCACAGGAAGAAACAGACATCAGCAATTTCAGTTGCAAGCCACACATTCAGGATTGCAGGTATAAGATGCCTGAAATGAAGGAATTGCATGAGTTTTATTTTCATTAGTAAATTGGCCAGTGCTGAGAAAATATATTTGATTTAACAGTCAATGTAGCTGTCAGGAAGGGGTCAGCTGCCATTGCTATTTTATTGAAAACATAAGAAAAATTCTTGATGGTCTTAATGAAAAAGGAAAAATCACTAACTTGAAACCTTATGTTTTTATGTGAATACAAAAGAGACTGCCTGAAAATGTGTTAGACTCCAGTTGCTTTCTACTCATAAATGTCCACAATGCACTGCCCAGGCCACTCTCAGAGGTCTTAAAAATCTGCGTTGAATTCATATGAGAAGTGAAAAGTCAGTTTCTTCTGCTATGTAGAAAAATAAGCATTAAAAAATGCAGGTTATTTGCAGAGCTCATCTTTTCTGAAAACAAGTTTGTGAACATTTTAGTATAAACAACAGTATTCCTTCACATTTTCCTATTCTTCGTATTTGGCATTGCTGTGTTATTTTTCTCCCCTGCTCACCTGGACAACTGGAAAAATCTGACAGCCATTGTCAATGTTACACTGCAACAAAATTGGTGATGCGATATTTTGGGCTAGAAGTGTAAAGCAGAAAATGAAAATATATATTTGCTGTTGTGACTGAAGCAAGAGGTAAAAATAGATAGTGTTAATTACTAAACCTATACAGAGGCTTTTCTACAAAGATATATACATGGCTTTCCTAAGGCAAAATTCACTAGTTCTAAAAATGCTATTTTTCCTGTAAAAAATAAATACACACTTTCCTATTTCAACTACTTGAAAAACCATTTGAAAGACCAAATTATTGTCCATGTTTTCAGTGTAATACTTGGCTCATAATTTAATAGATTTTATTCAGCTATTAAAATTGCACTTGCATTTTCTAGAAATCCAAAACTACTTCAAGGCACACAAAGTGTATTTAAGAGCCCTCAGCTCGACCTCCAGGTTAGATCGGCTTAAACACCATTTTGTCCCACATGAAATCAACCCATACACTTACTGTCACGTTTACAACCAGATATTCTGTTTAGGTACCTCATAGATGTGGTAGAGGTTTGACCCTTCGTCTGGCCAATAGTGGTAGCACTGTTTGACTCCGTTTTCCACGAGGGGTGTCAGCATGACAATAACGACACAGCCGTTCTCCCAGACCATCTGCAGACAAAGAAAGACACCGTGGCCACATTGTGACTGCCTAATTACTGCGTGACATGTATAATTACTGCACTCAGACACACAATCAAAATTTATTCCATTCACAGGAAATTTATTTCATTTTCATTAGACACTTTTACTCTGCAGCTGCTTTCAAATCCCTGAATAAACTGGCACCATATTTTGCAGGAGTCCATGAAATATTAAAGAATTCCCCGCGATTTCAGTTAGGGTCTTCCACAAAACCTCTCCTTGTTCCTGGTACTGTGTTCAGCTGTTTTTCTGTCGAACTTTAAGATCCACAAAGGGAATGCTGAATGACGCTTGCAAGACACACAGTTATTTGGGATTTGATATTTAATAGTAAAGCAGTACAGACCTACTAAAGTCACATGTGATGAAACCTGTTTGTGTCCTCAACCCTGTGTCGTTTTACAGTTTGCCATGCAGCAAAAGCTATTGCAGTACAGCATTGCTGAAACAATCATAAATGTTGGATCTGATCAACAGTAATGAGGAAAAGGCAGGAAAAACCTAAATCAAATGTGTTCTTCCAGAAACATTTCAGATGAACAAATCATTCCTCCAAACACACATTTATAAAAGATTTGTTGCAAATGGCCATTACTTTTTTCTTCTTTTTTTTTGTTTTTCCTTTTTTTTAAAAAAAATCTTCCTTTTTTTCTTCTCCTTTCTCTTTCTCCATTTCTTTTTTCTACTTTCCTTTTTGTCTTTTCTTTCGTTCTCTTTCTCTTCTTTCTCTTTCCTTATTCCTTTTGTTCTCTCCCTTCTTTTCTATCATCTCTCTTTTCCCCCTTTATTTTCCTCTTTTTTTTTTTTCCCCCTCTTTTTTTTTTCTGGAGGTAGGAGGAAAGTCCAGCTCCTGCTGCAGACGGTGCATTCAGTGCACAGGTACAGCAGGAACAGAGGAAAAAAGTATTTCTTCACTACCAGCATGACCGCTTAATTATTTAGACCAGGCACAGAGTAGGATACAGGAATCCAGCACATCCTCAAGTAATGGATTTGTGGATATCTCCTCCAAACAGCAAACAAGCAAAGATGCTCTGGTCTGCCGTATCTCTCTTCCAAACACAGCCCATGGCTGAACAAAAAGGCTCCTATGAATTAATACCAAGCAGCATAATCACTAAAAACTGTTATTATTATGCTGTACATTGATGTTATATTTGCATACAACTTTCATTGTCTTTTTGCTAGCATATAAAATTACTGAATGAAGAGAAAACTGCTCTTTTTGTGAAGGGTTATGTTTATTTCACAGAAATATTTATAAGCAACTGTATTGACATGTAAATTTTGTAAACAAAAAAGGCCTTTGTCTAAACTGTGCAAAGATGAGATGATACATTCAATTCAAGGATTATTTTTTTTAATTACATATCAAATAAAAAGGTTTCCCATTCATGGATAATGATGTTGTCTTCCCTTTTAAGAATAGCTTGCACGTAGAGAAACAAATTACATTTTCCTTCCTTTTTTTTTTTTTTTTCATTTTGCAACATAATGAAAACAACTTTTCAACCCAGCTTAGAAATTCATTTAGAGAAATGCATCTATGGTTTGCAGAGAATGGGGTTATTTATCAATTTAAACAGAAGTGGGGAAAAACTTACAGGTGAATGTAAGGAATAAAAATAATCTTCCTTACCTTCTTTATTTTTTTTCCCTTAAAAGGATTTTTAAATGATAAAATGTCTGTAATCCACTCACCCTCTTGTTAGAAACTCATAATGCCACAAAGCCAGCTAAAATACTTTAAATTGACAGCTAATTTATTTTACAGACAGATGTAGATTTATCATTTGTATCTTTTTTGTACTGCATTTGTTTTAGGCTGCAGCTGGGAACCTTCTTTGTATGTGAGGAAGATGATATGGATCTCATTCATGCTAACGTAGTTTCACCTCTTCTAGTCAGCAATCAGACTAAGATAAGAATTCAAAACATGCATCTTACTTTAAAACTAGCCCCACTAAATCAGTACTTTCATCACATAACGATTTAATGTGCCTCTAGAAGGTATAGAAGCTCATTGAAGCCATTACGAAAATGAGGAGAAACATAGTTTTTATGAGTGTAATAAAAATACAATGATCTAGACCATAAACTAATCATCTACCACTCTGCTTGTGCCACCCAAGTGTAACATTATAAAAGCCCACTCATTTAGAGAGGAATCCTTACAGTTTGGCAATCCTCTTCATTGGTTCAAAGATACAGCATTTCATTACAGAGGGACTGACTGCATCTCTGAAGATTTCATTAAGCATAAATCCAAATGAAAGTTAATTTAAACAAACAATTTGAAAGTTACTCTGGGGTATAATATTTCTTTTAGGTCCTTGTGTGAAAATGTAGAAGTCAAACCTACTAAATCAAGGCGGCAATACAATCTAGTGCCATCATCCCTGTTACAAGCAATTGTCACTGCATCTCCTGTGCTTACCATTGAGATGGAATTTTCACTAAGACTCACAGTCTGTGACTGGAGGACTACAGTATTTTCTTTGTTTCCTTGATAACTTAAATATTAGACCATCAGGCTGCTACCCAGATTTCTTTCCAAGTAACATAGAAGTGGCATGAATCAAAGGCAGTTCATGGAGTTTTATAGTCACCTGTTCACTACCCCATCTTTAACTTGGTGATGGGTTTTTCAAAAGCTCTCCCAACACTTAACATTTTGCTATGTGCCCTGTCCAGACATGGCCGTGTGTTAGAAAGTGGCCCTGAAGAGTGTGCCTTTGTAACAAAGGAACAGGTAGCACAGACCTGCTCTGCACAATCCCTGTACAGCCTTCGGAGAAGAGTGTCTGGATACCAGACATTTCAGTTGGGCTTGGAGAGTAAAGGAGGAGGCTTGGTTTCAAATTCACAGTAATTCACATAATTCTGAACTTTGTATGCATGCACAGTATAAAGTAAGTCAATGCATGTGATATAAGAATAAAGAGAATATCAGGTCCTTAGGGCAGAGGTTTTTATTTTTAGGTAGATCCCAGCAAAATTATGCCTTATTTGCCCAAGCATCTATGAAAAGTAAATATGTTTAGAATACTTGGCAGGGGCAGTTTCCTGTTTGCAATTTACTGTAATACTTTCAAGAGAAGAAATGTTCAATAGAGTCTTCTGAATGGAAGTGAGAAAGTCTGAGCTACGTATAGGAGCTCACTACAGAGCTCACAATACATGCTTTGCTGAAAAAGACAGTGCATGATTTTGTGTGACATGTCTACCTGCAGCCTGTATCACTCAGGACTTTAGACAAGAATAACACCATCCCACCCCATTTATTGCAAATTAAAGGCCGGATCCTTCAACCCAAAGATGAGCAGTGTGTTTGACATCCACAGGATTCCCTGTTGATGAAATCCACCATGCGTAGAGACCTCATGCTGTGGTTACCCAGCATGCCAGTCTCTTACAAAGGACTTCCACATTAGGATGAAATATATTTAGTACAAATTACTTGCAAAAGAGCACAGAACTGCTCCTTTTTCAAGTAAGGAGAAAAAGTTACAAATAGGAGAATCAGCATTACAACACTGCCATAAATCTGATAAAACACCGGTTTTTGAAAGCTTATATTTTAAAATGTCCTTGTTCACTAGCTTGTAAAAAAATGGTTAATATGAATCACTTTGGTTTTTTTCAGACACTTCATCATTTTTAAGCTTCTTTCGATAACAAATGATCCCACCCAAACCCTGTTTTCAGTCATTTTCCCCCTTATTTTTGTGACAGGGAAATGACAATGTGCTCCTGGTGAAGAACTTTCTATAAAGTGACAATAAAAGCATAAAATAGATAATGTGTTAAATCCAACCTAAAAATAACAGGGTAATCATACCAGCTGCTTTCTAGGAGAGATCTCCAGAAAACTAAAGAATTCACCTTTTCAGTCTTTTAGGCAAATGCAACTGTTTGGAAAAGCAGACAAACAAGCAAATCAACCCCAAATAATTTCTAATGATAATCAAAACTCAGCATGAATAAACACAACTTCTAAAACAACAAAAAGGGTACTAACCCTTGCTGGATCAGATAATTATCCATTACATGTCTTGAAAATAAGTAATGTGACTTCTTTCAAGTTCTCCACTGGAAATGGGAAACATTGTATTGAATGGACACAATCAGAAAATGGTATTTTCTGCAATATTTTAAAACCATACTGCAATGTTTTAATGGGTAAAAAAAAACAACAACAACAAAAAAGAGTTATATTTTAACTGGAAAAAAAAAAAAGGAGGGAGAATTAGATGTTTGTTCTCAACTAGAACTTCACAATGTGCGCCAGTCAAAAAGCAACCTCTTCTGCAAAGCATTTGGTTGAAAATGACTTATCATTTTGACATGTAATGGGTCAAATCTGTCAAGGTCAGAATTGCCATTTGCAATGTCATAGCTGTGCCAGACGGTTAAACAAAGCTATAGGTTGAAAAATTAGAGATCAACAATCTGTATTTAATTAAAAAAATAATCTGACTCTAGCAGTTGAAAAGATGCCTTCAGAGAGCACCTTATACAAATACATGGTTGTTAAACTGGCTCCATATGTTATATCCCTACTGTTGCAGCAACAATTGTTTGGAAGTCAGTGGGAATTGCTAACTCAAGATGACTGTATGTGTAGCAATAACTTCTGCTTTCTCAGAGGAACACAAACTGCTCTTATTCTTCTCAGTAGACTCTTAACTCAAGCCTCATTATTAAATAATTTAAATATGAATACTATTTAGTACTGCAGTGCTGACAAAATTAGATTAAGGAGGAAAAGTCCACCAAAAATGCCTGTAATTACCTTTTCACATTGGTATCGGAAAGGTGGAACCTAAACAACAAAGGGATAGAAATTTTAAAAGGACCACTTCCAAGTACCTTCTCCAACCAGAGGCATAATTAGAAGTGAGCATGGCAAATGTGCACTCCTTTACTGAACGTCTATGGAATTCCTAATGCTGTATTTATTTCAC